AAGTTTGGTAGATCATTAACCCATTAACTGTCCAAACATAGGTCTGTGTTCTTACCGCTAGTTTCAAACATAGATCAACGTATTATTTTTCCTGCCACCAAATATGGCACGATTGGCCTGAGATGCCTGGTCAGCACAGAATGGGTCTTAACACTCGGTGTGTGCAGTATTAAAAAAATCCCACCTTGTGGGAGCACCAGTTCAACTGAGCACCAGCTACAGCAAACAGAGCAGCAAACGTCTGGGATTCACTGATGTCAGGTTGCATAACACTCCCCTTTTAAGAGGAAAGTGACCCTGAGTTTAGTGGCTTTGAGGTAGATATGGCCACAAGTGGTCGAGAAAATATAAAAAAAAAAACCTCAATAATAATCCATGTGCAACATTTGTGCAACATCCTTTTAATTTTGGTATCACTGGTAGTGTCATCCTGCCAGAATGTCCTATACCCTATGCTCTAAGTAAACAAACAATTTTGGAACGTGTAATATGTGTTCGGCAGGCTGCTGGCCAGCTGGCTGGCTGATCGGCTGGCCGGCGGCTGGCTGGCTGATTGGCTGGCTATCTCCACCTGTCTGTATCTATCTCTGTCTGTTTGTCTCTGTCTCTGTCTGTCTGTCTGTCTGTCTATCTCACAGGTACACATAAATACAATTATACATAGTGTAAATTACCTAGGATAACCCAAAATATCCAGACAAAGTGCTATACTATGCTTGTAGATATAAGGCATAATAAACATTATTGACAAGTAATATGCATTTCACTTCATCAAGAATCAGACGTGACAAGTCTGATGACTCTGCATCCTGTTGGTTCAGGAGCCGCTCTCTGAAACAAGAGAGACAAGCAGACAGAAAGACAGACACACACAGACAGACAGAAAGACAGACACACAGGCAGGCAGAAAGACAGATAAACAGAAATAGCTAGAGAGACAGACATGTTTATGTGTAACAGTGAAAACAAACAAAGCCAAGGGTTCCCCACAGCAATTAATGATCATCAAGTGTCAAACCACTGCTGCACTGTCAGCAGTTTAGTGACACTCAGTCATACACCATGCTTCAAGGAGTTTCATATATACTCCAGCATGTCTAAATCATTGTTGGGACCTATAAATACTTTGTATATATTTCTAGACAATAGTAAATGACCAAGGCAGGTGAAAATGTTCACCTCTCAGTGTGTTTGTGATTATTTGAGTACAATTTCAGTACCTAATATTAGTGTCAGAACAAAGATTGGCTATGAAATCACAAGAACTACTATAAATTGTAATTACCAGTACATAAAAATTATATAAAATAATATAAAACAAGAAAAAAAAAGGTATATTGGCAACACTTCTGCATGCAGCAGGACTCCACGTTGCCATCAGGTGAGCATCCAGAACCAAATAAACCCCTATTATAAATGGTGACAGCGGTGCTCGCAGCAGTTGTGTTTGCCTGGAGAAGAAGGAGGAAGAGGTATGAAGTCATCTTCACTTCATCACCCTACACAAGAAGCATCCGTCTCTCAACAAGTTATCCTGATGTCGTGTCTGCACGTTTGAGCACCCAGACACAGGTACAAGCAGGATCCAGCCGAAATTTGCCGAATTTCTCCGAGAATTGTAAGTGGCGTCCCAGTGACCCTACGCTGTTTCTCAAGTCACGTGTTCAGCGTCACTTGTATGTTGCTTTTGTTGTTCAGCTCAGCACAGCTGTTTCAGCAAGCCAGAGGTGAGTTTTGTGGTGATTTCTGCGTCCAGTGTGAGCTTCTCCACGTGTTTGTGGGTGGAGGAGGAGGAGGAATGGCCAGATGCCCGCCCTGCCATACACTCACGCACGCTCCTCGCCACCAGCCTACCATACACCACTCACCACTGCCCACTCCCTCTGCTGTGTTTTCTGCTGTTTTTCGTATGAATTCATTGCCAGTGCTGTGTATCCGAGTGCCCGAGGCCACTCGAAGCTACGTGGATTACGACGTCACGTGGGTGTGGACGATGTCACTTAGACCTACAAAGCCACGTGAGTTACCAGATGTCCCAGGCCTCATGCTGTGGTCTGCTGCCCGCATCACATCGACGCCACCCACGATGCTGCCCGACTTCATGACGTCACGATGTCTGCTGACGTCACCTCACGATGTCTGCCTGACGTCACCTCGAGATGTCTGTTGACGTCACTGCTGCTGACGTCACCTTGCGACATCACGCCTGACATCACATGATGTCACATCGAGTGTTCTAGTAATTATTTCAGTATTGTCGAGAAGATTGAGAGAAGATATATGTCGTGTGTTAATTAATTCCTCTCAGTCAGTGTTCTCACATTTTAGTATATGTCTTAGTGTCAGTTTTGTGCACAGAAAAGCATCATTTGCTAGTTAAGCCATGTTGTACCGTATGTACAGCGGTGTGTTTGTAAGTTTTCCGTGTGTCCAGTGAGGTCTGTGGTCAGACCCTTGAGTTGCACCACTGTGCTGTCACCCGCGTGACCAGTGTTTGACAGCTGATTTCTCAGCCCTGAGCGTATGAGCCCCCTTGTACAGAAAGCTTTTATGCTCGTCGCTCGTGTTGTTCTGCAGAATCGTACCTGCTACGATTCCCATCGAGATTTGTTTCACTTCACCTCCAGACCGTCAGAGTGCAGTTATATGTAGAGAAACAAGTCTGGGGACGCTTAGGCTAACCTCTGCTATAACTCCAACTGTCGAGAGATGATACTCGTCAAGCCGCAGCCAGCCCTGTCGGCAGGCGCTGTGTCAGCCTCGTGTCACAAGCTTCAGTGAGCAGCCTGCACAAAGATGATGTCACTTTGACTGCTAGCTCTCACTGCAGTCTGGTGTATGATGTTACGACTCCCAGATGTTTCGCCCAGTCGTCTCTGCCACGACTCGCTCCACAACTCGCTTCACGCTCGCCGGCAGTGACAGCCCAGCGACAGTACCAGTCGAGAAGTGTCCTCCTGAGTCGCTTGCCAGAAGTCCTGCCCAGTTGCCGAGTTTTGTCGACGCCTCACTCGAGGGCACCAGCATGTCGTGCCCCAGGTTGAGTGAAAACCTGCAGCGACTCCTACGATGTCTGCTTCACCGTTCCAGAGGAGACCGTACCCTGTTACGTCACAGCTCAGCCGCAGCGATATCTCCCGTGTTGCAGTATCTGTCCAGACGCAGGAAGGCGTGCAGTGATGCCCATCGACGCTCATTGCCTTTGACCACGATGTTTAGCACACCCCACATGTTTTTTTCTTCCCTCCCTGTAGGAAGTTTTTTTTTCCATGTCCATATATATATATATATATGTTTTTATTTTGTGTTCTGTGCCCTGTTCCTACGAGAGAGAGACCGAGTTTATTTTACTACCAGTATTGTCGTGTCGGGACGACGCGCGGTAGGTGGCCGAGCGTATGTAGACAGCCTGTACTGTCTGCACAGACAGCCCATGCTGTCTGCCAGCTTAGTTCATATTTCGCGCCACTAAGGTGCTGCCATCTATAGGCCTTGCCACTTCAGTATGCCCAGATTTGCCTCGCCCTCACTCACACAGCGGCCTGGCATCAACACACAAGTACTCCCAGCTCTCTCTCGTGGGCATGGCCCTGCCCGGGCCATGGGCACAAACACACAAGCCTGTGTAACCCACCATGACATTAACAATAAACAAAGAAGCCTCCGAAGAACGTATCATTTAACCAACCGCTCTACAGCCTACCAAAACAAGCCATTATATAAGTATGGGTTCTAAAAAAATTTTGTGGTCTTATTACACAGAAAATTGCCCTCTTTAATTAATTTTTCTTTTTTTTTTTTCAAAATATTTGGAGCACTGGGCGAGAGAACGTAGATCTACTTTTGGACAGTTAACGGGTTAAACTAAAGTGGACACAATAGAATAATTAACATTTGAGAGGATACCTCTGATATACCTTTGAAGAGTTTCGAGTTTATCTACTCTCTGAGCCCGGCCATGGGCCAGGCTCGTCTGATGCTTGCCTGGTCAACCAGGCTGTTGCTGCTGGAGGCCCACTGCCCCACATATCCATCACAGCCTGGCTGATCTGGCACCTGGTGAAGATACTTGTCCAGTTTCCTCTTGAAGGCTTCTACACTTGTTCCAGCAGTGTTTCCGATATCTTCTGGCAAGATGTTGAAAAGTCTGAGACCCCGGATGATTACAGATATTGAGAGTAGTATGTATATATTGATTATAATTTTTTAACCAAGTTCATGATATTGAGCAAATGGTACTGGAGATTTCTGGCAGAGTTTTCCAGATTTTGGGCCCTTTAATGTACACTGAGTTTCTGAAAAGATTTAGCCTGACACAGGGAATGTCATAGAGATTTCTGTGCCTATTATTGTGTCCATGGGTCCTATTGCAACTGTCAAGAAAGCGCTTCAGGTCGGGATTTATATTAGAATTAATTGTTCTGTAAATGTAGGTGGCAGAGTAGTACGAGTGAATGTCTTGTACAGTGAGTAGGTTTAGGTCTTTTGAAAAGTGAGGAGGGGTGGGGAGTGTTGCTTAGCTGTGAATTGTGTGATCTTTCACACTGCAGCTTTTTGTTCGGTTATTACTGGCTTAGGTGATTTGTCATTATGGAACCCCAGACACAAACAGCACAGTTGAGGTAGGGGTAGATCAGCGAATGGTATAGTGCAAGTAGTGCTGTGTGTGTCACACAGTAACATATCTCTGAGAGGATGTCAATTGTTGTAGATACTTTTTTTGTTGTGTGCTGGATATGGGTGGAACACACCGTGGTACACACCATCATGGTCAAGGTGTAGACCCAGGAATTTTCCCTCGTTATGTTTAGCAATAAGGATGTTGTTATGAATAATGTTTAATTCAACCTCACTTGCTCTACTCCCAAACAATGTCTATGTTCAGTGTAAGTTTATTGATAGTCATCCAGGTTGCTACTTTTGCAAGCTCTTCATTAACAATTTGTTTAATATGTACATTATATTGCAATAAACTATATTATTATTATTATTTTACTAACCTGAATTTTTATCCACAAATATCTCTTGCACTTGTGTATCACCTTCCTTAGTTGAACAAGCTGGGCAATGTACACTGAAGCTTGTATCCGTCTCCTCGTACGATATAAGATGCGAGGTAAAGAAGTCAATAATGTCATCTTCCATGTCATGATAGAGATCATCCTTCACCTCGTCATTGTCAAACAGATCGTTGTCCACACTGGCCACTTCACTTATGCTGCCTTGTAAATACTCTGGAATATCCTTCCTACAATCACTAGTATGAATTTTTCTGACACCAGTCTTATGCCATGGCCTTTTTGCCCAATAACTGCTTTTTCTGTTAGGGAACAAGTATTCAGCTTTCTGCAGAACATTAGCAAATATTGGAAGTAATTGTGATCTATGAAAACTCGGAAATGTTGATGATGACTGCAATCCAGCAAGTGAGAGATTGCAGGCACACAAACGTGTTTGAGAAAGTTTAGATACTGCTTGACCTGGCAGCAGCGTGTTAGGCATCAGTGGTGTAGGAGACCAGTGATACACACACTGACATGTCTGGTGGTGTCTCATTAACAGTGCCAGGGTAGAGACCTTCTGGTATGAAAGTCTCTCTTGTGGTATTCCTCTTATTCTTATCAGAGCTTTGTGTAGCAACATTTAGCCTTAATTTCAAGCCTAAAAAGAAAAGAAAAGAATTAAAAGAGGCAAACACTATCAAATTCCAGAAATTATCTTTAAAACAAGAAATAATATTTAAAATTATAAGAAGCCCAATGAAAAGCAAGTGTATCATCAGCACAATTAGAGAACAGCATCAACATCTCTAGTATAGAACTCTTCACCTGTCTACATGATAATAGCAAATATAAAAAATATAAACAGAATTAAAGTAAAATTTTTCCAGTGGAAATATTAAGTATCACATATAAAGCTATGTGTAAAAGGTGTTCTCTATATTTGTGCACCCACATGATGGATATAGGGTGCATAATAAAGATATTAAACTAACCAACTTCCATCCTTGTATAACCAAGCTCTTCTCCTTGCATCAAGTAACTACACTTAACAGCCATTACACCATGAGTTATTGGATATTAATTTTTGAAACACACTGACAAGGCAAACTGACCTGATGGCTAAAGGAAACATACCCAACAATGTCTCTTTAACTGCAATATTCTCGTCTGACAAAGCACAGGAACGGTGCTTCCCACATCCTAGCCTCAAGTCTGGCTACATAACTCTCTATATATATTTAACAAATTCTATTATCCAGCCAAATGATGGAAAGAGACATCCCGGTTAATGCGTGTATTGTTCTGTGTATGTAGTAGGCACATGAATAAGTATGGATGTTCTTAATGGTGAGCAAATTTAGACTTTTGAAAATTGGTGGAGTATGCTGTCAGGAGTGGGAATTTATCATCATTCTGACTGCTGCCTTTTGCTGGGTTATTAGAAGTCTTAGGTGATTTAATGTTGTTGATCCCTATGCACAAATTCAATATGTGAGATAAGGGTCGATGAGTGAATGGTACAGTGCCAGGAGAGCTGACTGGAACGTAGTACCTTATCTTTGATAGTATGCCTACAGTCTTGGAGATCTTCTTGGTGATTTGTTGTTTATGTGTCTGGAACTTAAGGCTACTGTCAAGGTGGATACCTAGAAATTTTCCCTCTGTGAGTCTTGTGACTGGTGATCTGTTTAGCATTATGTTAAGTGGAACATTTTCAGCTTTGTTTCCAAACTGAATGAAATAGGTTTTATCGGTATTCAGGTTAAGTTTATTAGTCATCATCCAGGCAGATATTTTCTGCAATTCGGCATTGACAGTGTTGGGAAGTATGACTGGGTTTGGGTGGGGGAAGACGTATGTAGTGTCATCTGCAAATAATATGGGTTTGAGTAGCTTTGATGCATTCGGTAGATCATTGATGTAGATGAGAAAGAGGAGTGGTCCAAGTACAGTTCCCTGTGGGACTCCTATTGTGATTGGTTGGGTGGAAGAGTTTGCACCATTTGTGTACACATATTGAATTCTGCTACTAAGGTATGACTTTAGGTAGTTGAAGGAGTGGCCTCTGATACCATAGTGCATGAATAAAGACCATCTGCAATATCAGGTTTAAGCCAGGTTTCTGTGAGTGTGATGATTGATATATTGGAATGAATGGAATTGAGTAATGCTGTGAGGTCGTCATGTTTGCTCAAGGATCTGACATTGTAGTTAAAGGTGGTTATGTTATTGTTTACTCTGAGTAATCATGGTAAACATCATGGTCTTGGATCAAGAGCACTTCACCAGCATCATGGTATGCATCATGGTCTTGGATCAAGAGACCTTTACCACCATCCTGGTATACATCATGGTCTTGGATCAAGAGCACTTCACCACCATCATGGTACACATCATGGTCTTGGATCAAGAGCACTTCCACACACCATCATGGTAACACTCAACTCATGGATCTTGGATAAAGAGCACTTCACCACCATCACGGTACACATCATAGTCTTGGATCAAGAGCACTTCACCACCATCATGGTACACATCATGGTCTTGGATCAAGAGCACTTCACCACCATCATGGTAAATCATGGTCTTGCATCAAGAGCACTTCACCACCATCATGGTACACATCACGGTCTTGGATCAAGAGCACTTCACCACGATCATGGTAAACATCATGATCTTGGATCAAGAGACCTTCACCACCTTCCTGGTGCACACCATCATGGTGCACACCATCATGGCACACACCATTGTGGCACACACTATAGTGGCACACATAATGGCACACACCATAGTGGCACATACCATTGTGGCACACACTATCGTGGCACACACCATGGCACACACCATAGTGGCACACACCATCGTGGCACACACCACTGTGGCACACACCATTGTGGCACACACCATTGTGGTGCACACTATAGTGGCACACACTATAGTGGCACACACCATGGCACACACCACAGTGGCACACACCATTGTCGCACACACCATCGTGGCACACACTATCATGGCACACACCATGGCACACACCATTGTGGCACACACCATAGTGGCACACACCATCGTGGCACACACCATCGTGGCACACACCATCGTGGCACACACCGTCGCACTACACACCGTCGCCTACACACCAGCACACTGTTGCGGTACACACACGTCGCAGTACACACGTCGCGGTACACACAGTCCGCAGTACCACCATCGGGTCACACGTCGCAGTACACACCATCGCGGTACACACCGTCGCGGTACACACCACGTCGCGTACACACCGTCGCGGTACACACCGTCGCGGTACACACCGTCGCGGTACACACCGTCGCGGTACACACCGTCGCGGTACACACCATCACGGTACACACCATCACGGTACACACCATCATGACACACACCATCACGGTACACACCATCAGGGTACACACCATCATGACACACACCATCACGGTACACACCATCACGGTACACACCATCAGGGTACACACCATCATGACACACACCATCACGGTACACACCATCATGACACACACCATCATGGTACACACCATCATGGTACACACCATCACGGTACATACCATCATGGTACACACCATCATGGTACACACCATCATGGTACACACCATCACGGTACACACCATCACGGTACACACCATCATGACACACACCATCACGGTACACACCATCACGACACACACCATCACGGTACACACCATCACGGTACACACCATCACGGTACACACCATCACGGTACACACCATCACGGTACACACCATCACGGTACACACCATCACGGTACACACCATCACGAAACACACCATCACGTACACACCATCATGGTACACACCATCATGGTACAAACCATCATGGTTCACACCATCATGGTTCACACCATCATGGTACACACCATCACGACACACACCATCATGGTACACACCATCATGGTACACACCATCATGGTACACACCATCATGACACACACCATCACGGTACACACTATCACGGTACACACCATCATGGTACACACCATCATGGTACACACCATCATGGTACACACCATAATGGTACACACCATCATGGTACACACCATCATGACACACCATCATGGTACACACCATCATGACACACCATCATGGTACACACCATCATGGTACACACCATGACACACCATGACACACCATCATGGTACACACCATGGTACACACCATCATGGTATGGTACACACCATCATGGTACACACCATGGTACACACCATCATGGTACACACCATCATGGTACACACCATCATGGTACACACCATGGTACACACCATCATGGTACACACCATCATGGTACACACCATGGTACACATGGTACACACCATCATGGTACACACCATCATGGTACACACCATGGTACACACCATCATGGTACACACCATCATGGTACACACCATCATGGTACACACCATCATGCTACACACCATGTTACACATCATGGTACACACCATCATGGTACACACCATGGTACACATCATGGTACACACCATCATGATACACACCATGGTACACATCATCATGGTACACACCATCATGGTACACACCATCATGGTACACACCATGACACACACCATCATGGTACACACCATCAAGGTACACACCATCATGGTACACATCATGGTACACACCATCATGGTACACACCATCATGGTACACACCATGGTAACATCATGAGTACAGACCATCATGGTAACACAAAACCATCAGACACAACACCCATCATGGTACACACCATCATGACACACACCATCATGACACACACCATCATGGTACACACCATCATGACACACACCATCATGACACACACCATCATAACACACCATCATGGTACACACCATCATGACACACACCATCATGACACACACCATTATGGTACACACCATCATGGTACACACCATGGTACACATCATGGTACACACCATCATGGTACACACCATCACGACACACACCATCATGGTACACAACATCATGGTACACACCATCATGGTACACACCATCATGGTACACACCATCATGGTACACACCATCATGACACACACCATCATGACACACACCATCATGGTGCACACCATCATGGTACACACCATCATGCTACACACCATCATGGTACACACCATCATGGTACACACCATGGTACACATCATGGTACACACCATCATGGTACACACCATCATGGTACACACCATTATGACACACATCATCATGACACACGATCATGGTACACACCATCATGGTACACACCATCATGGTACACCATCATGGTACACACCATCATGGTACACACCATCATGGTACACACCATCATGGTACACACCATCATGGTACACATCATGGTACACATCATGGTACACACCATCATGGTACAAACCATCATGGTACAAACCATGGTACACACCATCATGGTACACAATCATGGTACACACCATCATGGTACACACCATGGTACACACCACAGTACACACCATCATGGTACACACCCTCATGGTACACACCCTCATGGTACACACCATCATGACACACCATCATGGTACACACCATCATGGTACACACCATCATGGTACACACCATCATGGTACACACCACAGTACACACCATCATGGTACACACCATCATGG